ACTGGGAAAAGGAGAGATTTAGAAGTTATTGCTGAGAAAACACAGTCCCTCTTCTGAAGAAAGTGATATCCCAATGAAAAGTCAGGAGACCTTTTTTATCCTAAAGAGTATAGCTACAGGCAGTTTTACATTGCTGCTTTTTACTTTTCTCCAGCCTTCTACATGAGTGTGTTTTCTACTGTTCATATATTTTTTTCTCTAGAGAGAAAACTACTCAGTTTAGGACAGAACTTGTATCTTAGGACAGAAATTGCCATCAGCAGACTGCATGATCTCCTCATTGCCCTTGAGACTCTTGGTGAACTTTTTCTAGAAGTGGCATAAGCCAGGACTTTGAAGCTACAGGTATAACTCAGGTCACCAAAAATATTTGTCTTTTGTACTTCTGTGCACTTCTGCAAGGGGTCTAAAGGGAGTTGATTATAGGTTATAGGGTCAGTTGCAAAGCTCTGAAATTCTTGGTGCCTGGAAGCACCTGGAAGTGTTTAGATCACATGGAAATCGTTTTATGCTCTCTGAGCCCTAGGAATTGCATGATTGCATTTCATTTTCTCTATCAAATGCTTTATTAAATTTTTTGAAACTTGGGTTTTGGTTATATGGTTTTATATTTATATAAAAAATGAAGAAGCCTCCTTTCAATTTGAATTTGGCGCCAATTGAGAGATGCAAGAGCCAGACATAGGGAGGTCATAAGATTTATTGTATTCTTTTTTTCTTTTTCAAATAATTTATTTATTTATTTATTTTAGAGAGAGAATGAGCTCATGTACACGGCAGGGGGTGTGGGGGGGGTGGTGGAGAGGCAGAGAACGAAGAGGGAGAGAATGCCAAGCAACTCCCCACATGAGGAGGCAGGGCTCCCCACGAGGCAGGGCTCGATCCCATGACTTGGGGACATGACCTGAGCCTGAGCTGAAACGTAGAGTCAGATGCCTAACTGACTGGGCCACTCAGGCACCCCCAGATTTATCATATTCTTGATAAAATTGGAAATATAGCTCTGCATTTGAGGCCAGAATAGTTTGCTAACTCCTCTTGGCCTCACATAATTAGGCTTACCCATCCCTTTAGTGGCAATGTCTTACAAGGCATGGTGGGGGGACAGCCAGAGCATATGTATGCTCTCTATAGGAAGGCTGTCTTCAAAAGACAGGAATTGAACCAAGTGTGTGTTCAGTTTCTTCTCACATATTTGCTGGTGAGTCAGTAAGGGCTCAGATGAGAGACCCAATCTCTCTCCATGGAAAGATGAAGCATGGAGCGGGGGAAGTGTTTCCTTAAACAATTGAGAGAGGTAAGCCTAAAATCTTTCTTTTTTTTTTTTTTTCCAATCATTCAGGCGGCATCCCTTTACAGAGCCAGGGAATAGAGTCTTCAAAAGAGGAACGTGAGCATACTACCCACAGGGGACAGGGACCCAACCTATTTATGTTAATAAGTGAATCCGGTAGTAAGATGCAGCATGTCCAAGTATTGATTCTCCAAATTTGATTTCAGTCAGTTAACTAAGTCTATTGTGGTTTTTTGTTTTGTTTTTATTTTTAAGGTTTTAATCCTTTGTGTTGGTGTTTGTAGATTTCACCAAAGTTTATTATTGCCACTAAAGTTCTACTTACCTTTATACAGGAGAAAACATTTTAATTGTGACATCAGTCTATCTGAACAGCTTCCCTGGTAATGTCTATCGCCAAATGCTGTTGGAAATACTGTGTCCAAGAGAGGTGCCCTTTCAATCAGATTTGTGATCTGTAAGGCATTAAAAAGTCTAAATGTATAGCTAACTTTTTAACTGGGATGTGTATAATTTGATAGTCTAATTACAAGTCCTATTACAACAGAGACTTGTTTTCATATTAAAGACCTCTAAATCCAGAGTAGAATGTTACTGATTTTCGTAGGAACTATTCTGTGTACATGATTAGATACGGGTCTGGGGATTGTGCTCCTATATGAGATTTGGGTGAATTTGAGACTTGAAACCTCAGTCCCTTGCTTGTTTCTTGAATGGAGAGATGTCTGAGTTAAGAATTGCTCATGTGGAACACTTAACATACATTTTAGAGGGATGAATGTAAGAGTAAATAAAAGGTCGTAGGCTGAACTTAGGTACTGATGAGACAGAGGCATTGGGGCTTATTTACAGGTTGGTGGAGTTGTGCTGAACTAATTTTCAGGTTAGAAAGTAATAACGAAGTGACTGGGAATCTTTGACCCTGTTGAGTAGAAGTAGCACTTTAAACTCTGTTTGACACACTTGGCCCAAGATAAAAAACTGTGGTCAAGGTTTTGGGCACTTGCTGCAGTTGCCTCAGTGATTGACTGCTCTAGTGTAATGGTAGAGGGTCAGCTCAGGCTTCTTGGTGTGGTCACCACAGTGCTGCATCTCTGTCCAGTCCTTCTTTGGAAGCCATCAGGGTTGGATCATTAAAACAATAACTGAAATTGGATTCAGTTTCATAGGAAAGATTACCAGCCTGGTGTGAGTGGGGACTCCGTGAATAAGCCTTCATAGCATGTTTTTTTTTCTGTGGTTTCCACAACTTTTTCTGTTAAATGAGAAGATGGACTCTGGGTAATAGCCACATTCTTCTGTTCATCTTTTGTTTTAGCAGCTTTATTGTGATATAATTCATGTACCATATAATTTACCCCTGTACTGTATAGTTCATTTGCTTTTTCTATATTCAGAGTTATGAGTCTGTCATCTTACTCAGGTTTTGAACATTTACATTAGCCCAGGAAGATAACTCGCATCCTTTTGCTGTCAGTCTACTCACTTTCAAAAAAAAAAAAAAAAACCTCATCCAAAAACTGCACAGCAAGCTATAGTAAGCTAAATGATTAGACAAGATATTCCATAATTCTAAAAATTGATCTCATGGTATAGACAACATTTTAACTGTTGTTATTCCGTGGTTTATGTAGTAGTGAGATACTTCATTTCTCAGGAATGCTAGCAGCAAATGCTATCTAACTCAGTATATCCATGAGTGACATCCTTTGTCATATTCTATTGGTTAGAAGCAAGTTGCAGGTCCTGTCCACACTCAGGGAGAAGAGCCTCCACAGAGATGTGAATCCTGGGGAAGTACAGCTCATGGGGATCATCTTAGAGCCTGTCTGCTACGTGCTGTAAATTCGTGAATAATGTAAAAATGTTGCTTCCGATTTGCACATAATTTTAACTAACTTTTTTTCAGCTACCTTCAGCAATTGGCTGGTGCTACATGTTTCACCAGTGATTAAGCTGAGCCATAGAGATACTGTTTACTTGCCAGCAATCATAGAACAATAATTATTGCAAATGAGCTCCTTTGTGTTAAACTGTTGCTACATCATGAAAAAGATTACTAAGAAAATTAGTTACTGGGCTCGACTGGTGAAAGTATGTTATAAATAGAAAAGAACTTGTGTGAAAAAAAGCTGATATTATGGCTTATGGTCTGGGACTCTGGCATTTGGAATGCTGGTTCATTACGTGATTATTTAGATAAAGTTTATTAGTCTTTGAGCTATAACCTTGAATCGTGGTTATTATTAATACTGGTATATACCATAATTGTGGGGAAATGATTTTAAAGTTCTGCATATTTTGAGAACCTTAAAAGTAGCTACAAAAAGCAGTTCTACTAACCTGAAAAAACATTTCTAAATTTTGGGAGAAGAAAAATAAAATACCCAAGCATTTAAAATTTTCTTGCTTACCAGATCAGATTTTAAAGAGAGTCTGACCACTTAATATGAAACTGACAAAATGTAGATGCTCTTCAGTGGAATCTTTTTCTTTATGTATTTTGTACTCTAGTCTGATAAAGTTCTTTCCTACACATTGATGTCTGGGGGTGGGGGCAGGAAGAGAAAGAGAACAGAGATTGTCTTTACATTCTTCACTGAATTTGCTTTTTTTTTTTTTTTTTTTTAAACATAGCATAGTTACGTTACAAGTTAATACTTTGATCTCCAGGTTGGAGTTTTGGAGATTTTTTTTAATTTTTTTAAGACTTACTGTCTTTTTTTTTTTATGATTTTATTTATTTATTCATGAGAGATATACAGAGAGAGAGAGAAGCAGAGACACAGGCAGAGGGATAAGCAGGCTCCATGCAGGGAGGCCGACATGGGACTCGATCCCAGGTCTCTAGGATCAGGCCCTGGGCTGAAGGCGGCGCTAAACTGCTGAGCCACCCAGGCTGCCCAGAGATTTTTTTTTTTATTTAATGAAAATCTGTATCGAGATTTCTGTCCATGAATCATTTGTTTTTCACCTCATTGCTGTATCTAGGCTGAAAGATTCAGATTTGAATAGTACATGACAGTTTTTCTCTTAAAGCCAGCTGGCTATTCATCTAATTGTCCCCTTGCTTCAGCGTGGCATTATCAGGAACAGGGCAGCATGGTAAGGTGCCAGTTCTCAAACTTTACTAAAATCATCACCCAGAATCTTTACAACTACTGTTTTTTGACTCCTGTTCCCCAATACTCTGATTTAATTGCCATGAGATGATACCTGGGCATCTGGATTTTAAGAATCTCACCAGGTAATTCTGACGTGCAGCAAAGTTCAGGAGCAGCTGTACTAAGGATTGAAGACCGAGAGAGTCATTCATGTTGGGTCAGGTAGGATAGAACTTTTTGGACGTGAGGTTTGTAGCTCCTGGGACTTTGCACTTGATAATGGAGTTTTACAGAGTTTGAAAAAGATCTTGTATTTGGCAATGAAAACTTATCTACAGAATCACTTTTTTTAATGACTGGAAACTTGGTTTTCTGAATCTCATTAAAGCTATATTTATTGCCTTCCTAAATTTAGGCTTTTCTTAGTTCAGAGTGTAAAAAACCAAGACAACGTAAACAAACCCCCCAAACCTCGAGGTCAGACTGTGTTAGCAACTTGAAAAAGACATTTTCTCACGCATTCATCAGTGCTAGCTATAAGAAAAAAAAAAAGTCAAAACCTATTTAAAATGTGGAAAAATTGCTTCCCGATATTTTAACAGAGAGAGACTGAGAACACACAGCATTGAATCATCAGGAAAGCTGAAGATCTCCCCTGAGCAGCACTGGGATTTCACTGCGGAGGACTTGAAAGACCTTGGAGAAATTGGACGAGGAGCTTATGGTTCTGTCAACAAAATGGTCCACAAACCAAGTGGGCAAATAATGGCGGTGAAAGTAGGTGATGCCCATCATTCTTTCTGGTGCTTTCATCCACTGGGGGCAGTTTCTTGGTGCAGTGGTACCCCTGCTGTTCTGTTTTCGCTTGTGTGGTACATACGGGTGTCTGTAAAACTGTCTCTCCAACCCCCCTGAGGGTGTTTCGTACCGAGGTTGTCTTGTCGGTGGCACGTCCTCTATCGCCCTGGAAACACAAGTGTCCGAAGCGCGTATGTTGGCCGCACGTCCGGCATGATGCTTTAACGTGTTTTACACTTCAGGCCCTGCCGCTGCCCAGGTGAGTTCGGGCTGGGCGGCTGCAGCCCTGGGATCAGGGTAGTGCTGCGCCGAGCCAGGCGGGGAGCTGGAAGAAGAGGCAGCACACTGGGTTGGGCAGGGTGCGGGGCTAGGGCTAACAGCAGTCTTACTGAGGGTTTCTTGGAAACCACACACATGCTGTTGCCACTAACCTCAACCTTACTCGGTCCTGACCGGCTCGGCTCCTGTTGCTTTAGTTCATCTCTGCTCAGTACTGCCCTGTTCCCTGGTTTGAACGCTGTATTGAAATGCCTCCCTCGTGACAATGTTGTCGCCTTCTGTCCTTGCTGTGAGTGCCGTGCGTGCCACTTAATTTGTTAATAAAAAAAAAGAAAGAAAGAAAGAAAGAAAGAAAGAAAGAAAGAAAGAAAGAAAGAAAGAAAGAAAGAAAGATCGAGAATGGCCAGAAATGCAGATGGGCCTATAGACTCTACCTGGCAGGCTGATGTTGGTGCCTGTTACAAACTAATGATTTATGTCCGATGCCCATGGGGGCCACGTGGTTGTAATGTGTTCATCTGTGTGTTTAGATGTTGAACAGATGTTTTCTGCGTGTACGATGGCACAGGAAAATCGACAGCGTTGGGGGTGTCAGTGTAAAAAAGATAAAGGGTGAATGAGATGTGGTCATTCCCTTATCCAAATTGAAATTCTCAGGGTAAATTAGTCATGCCTTAGTTTACCCAATTGAGAACAGGTCTGTGGACCATCAGAGCTAATCATCTCCCCATCAGTGCCCTATTTGGAGAGTTTGTCAAATGGCCTGATAGAGGAGGAGCCTTAGTTTCATAACTGACTTTTGGGAGCAGATTTGTATCACATTAATATGAAATGCTATCTGTATTGGAGTTTATCCTGTGCAAAATGTTACTCTGACCCTTTTTGCTTCCTTCATTGTTGAGCATTTCTGTTTGTTGGGGCATATGAACCTAATGAGAAATGAATGGTGGGTAAAAATTTTATGTTTCTCTTTATGGGTTCTTAACCTTGTGGTTGGTCATAGTTCTTTTGCAATATGCTGATACCAATAGCCTTTTTTCATAGGATGATGCATTCATACATAAGATTTTGCATATATCTGGTGGATCTCTAAAGCAGCACAGGCTAAGACCTCTGCTTCGGATTGTCTGTTGAAATAAAACAGTGTTTTTCTTGGAATGTGAAATGATTCCTCCATTTTTATTTTGTGCCAGTGCAGTGTAAGTGGAAAGTCACTTTATTGAGATTTTTTTGGATGAGGATTGCATTGCTCTAATGTACTATCCGTGCAATATCTGCCTTTACTTGGCTAGGTCTTAAGGGAGAGGTAGCATATATAACTAAACTTCTAAACTTTCTTCCAGATACTAGGGAAATAACTTTTAAATAATTACATCTTAGTTTTTTCAGTCTGTGCTTGACTATGTTGATCAACATCATAATCTGTTTTAGTCATCTGGATAGACTTGAGCTGTGGTCAGTAGGGTTTCAGGTAAAGAAGGTACTTCATTGTGATTTGAAAAAAGTGTTTCTTAATTTGATAACGTTTGGAACTGTGTGATGCTGACTCAAAATTTGAATGAACTTAAGAGTGAATAATAGGAAATTATTGTCTGCCACTTATAATTTGACCTTATTTTGAGAGTCCTGTCGGAATGCCTTCAAAGAGCCCAGCTCTTCAGAAGTACTTCTGAGGTGGTCATGGGACCTATGGATTGGTAGCTGTCACACCTGTGCCTGCCAGTTGATACTGTCTACTTTTAACACCTTGAATTTTTTTTTTAAATAAATTTGTAACAAGTATTCCAAATCTTTTTTTTTTTTTAAGATTTTATTTATTCATGAGAGACACAGAGAGAGGCAGAGACATAGAGAGAGAAGCAGGCTCTATGCAGGGAGCCCGATGTGGGACTCAATCCCGCGACTCCAGGATTGCGTCTTGGGCTGAAGGCAGTCACTCAACCACTGAACCACCCAGGTGTCCCTATCACCTTGACTTCTTGAGTCAGCATCTTAGTTTAGCGCAGGGAGGGTAATGATAGCATTGGATTCCAGTGACAAGTATTCAAGTATCCATGACATCATGTAATACTTGAAGAGGGTTTTTTCCTTAAAGTTAAACACATTAAAGTTCTCTTTTTTTAAAGATTTTATTTATTCATGAGACACACACACACACACACACACACACACACACACACACACACACACACACAGAGGCAGAGACACTGGCAGAGGGAGAACCAGGTTCCCTGCGGGGGAGCCTGATGTGGGATCGATCCCCAGACCTTGGGATCATGACCTGAGCCAAAGGCAGACAGACACTCAACCAGTGAGCCACCAGGCATCCTGACATTAAAGTTTGATACCAATTTGGTGACTCATAAATGCCATCCACTACGATTTTTATTTTTATTTTTTATTTTTTTTTTTTAAAGATTTTATTTATTTATTCATGATAGTCACAGAGAGAGAGACAGAGAGGCAGAGACACAGACAGAGGGAGAAGCAGGCTCCATGCGCCGGGAGCCCGACGTGGGATTCGATCCCGGGTCTCCAGGATCGCGCCCTGGGCCAAAGGCAAGCGTCAAACCGCTGCGCCACCCAGGGATCCCCCACTACGATTTTTAAATGCGTATCTTGATCTCTCTGAAAAAGCTTAGCCTTTTGTCACACTCTAGAGTTTGTTCTTTTGTCATGTAGGCACACAGACCAGATTGATAAATACACACACACAGAGTCAGTGTGTGATTAAGGAGTTCGATTTGACATTTTCCATGTAGACAGCATGATGACTAAGCACTCGCCGTGTCTAGCTTTGAGACAAGGACTATAGAGATTTAAGAGTGGGAGACTGGTTCATGCTCTTGTGAGTTTTCCAATTGTTGTTGGTAAACTGAGAAATGCACTTGAAGTGTACCTCTATATAGTGTTTTATAATGTGCACTTTAATGTCAAGGATTACTGTATTAGATATTAAGCTTACCTTGGAAATAAATTACCCTTAAGATTTACTTTCAGTATCTACAAAACTGAACTGCAGTATCAGCCTGATTTTTATTATTATTCCTCCTCATTTTTAGTTTTGAGGGAGCCCTTCCCCAAATTTATTTTGCCACACATGAGAAATGGCTTAGAAAGATGATTTGTTAATTACCAGAAACAATGATCTCTAAGACATATTTAAAAATCAGGATGTAATAAATCAGATTCAGCCAGATAGCACACAGCATATGTAAGATCTCATGACCTTTGGCCCGAGGACAGTTCTTCAAGCTGCCAGTGAGGTTCTCTACATTAGGACCCAAGATGTGGGAAATTCCGACCTTTTGGCTCACCCACCTGGGGAAACAGGTCTGACTCTTCTGTGAGTGGGGAGTGTTATGACTGGCTTGTCTAAGGGCTTGAAGGACTGAGTCACGGGGCTGCCGAGGACAAAACCATTCCTGCCATAGGATTTTCTAAAACTGCATTAAGGATGACCTTTGACTCTGGTTGGGTATGTCAGGCTTCGATCAGCATCCCATGCCAATAACATTTATTTAATGTCCCATTTTGTATGATGGTAGAATAACCACCAAATGAAAAAATTTAGACATGAACAGTCCCTATCCTCTAAGAGTAAAATAGGTGTCTGGTTTGCGCCCTGCCAGGGTTTATTGTAATGAGCAGAGGCCTAACATTCACACCAAATGTTTGAAGAAGGTGTCAGGATTAGATTTCTGGGCTAGGGTCAGAGAAATTCAGGATCTGGAAGTAAAGTCTGGTGAAGTCAGGTCCACAGATGATCACAATTGGCATGTCAGGGCAAGTCCAGGGACACAGGAGAAAAGCATTAGAAAGAGTGGCTCCAGGCCACAGTCCAGGCCCTTGGGCCGGAATGGAACGGTATGATGGACACAGGTTGCTAACAGAGGGAGGAATGACTCTGAGCCTTCAAGACTTGACAGCGTATCCTCCACCTGACCCTGCCTGTGGCATAAATCCTGCCTCCATGCTAGACTCCCAGCTTCCCTGTCGTTTCCTCAAAGACCGTGTCTACTGACTCTTGAAGATATGCATGTGTCTGTCTGTAGGCTTGTAGGCAGGGGAGAGTAGAAAAGAATGCAGGATCCCTGGGTGGCTCAGTGGTTTAGCGCCTGCCTTTGGCCCAGGGCGTGATCCTGGAGTCCTGGGATCGAGTCCCGCATTGGGCTCCCTGCATGGACCCTGCTTCTCCCTCCTCCTGTGTCTCTGCCTCTCTCTCTCTCTGTGTGTGTGTGTGTCTATAATAAAATAAATAAATAAATAAATAAATAAATAAATAAATAAATCTATCTTAAAAAAAAAAAAAAGAAAAGAATGCAGATGAGAGGGAATAGAAGGGAATGAAATGGATGCCCCTACAGATGGAAGGCAGTGGGATTGATATTTAGAGGGGTGGCCCTGGATTGAAGCTGTCATGTCACGGGCGAGTGGAACTGATGTTGGGCAGGTGGGTGGGGATGGGCAGGTGTCACATTGAGGCTGTCACAATTGATATTTACAGATGAGCTTTCAGTCTTCTACTTGAGAAGTCATGTGTGATAATCAAAGAGACAGCCTAGGTGCTTTGGTCAGCCTGGTTAGCGGGGTGAAGGGTTTTAGGTGATTTCCCTTTCTTGGTCATGGGCCTTATTGGTCTTATTACTTCAACCCTCAAGGGTTTTTCTCTACTCTTCTAACTTTCCTGTTGTGTTGAT